TTACAGTCGTTTTTGTAGTATATAGCGATTAAAATATAGGGCTTAAATAAATATACAAAGTTTAAAAATATTAGATGCTTACCTCTTGTGAGCTCTTTCAACACTCAAATATGCAAAATATATGACATAATTCACTGAAGTCAGTCCTTTTATATACGGCACTCTTCAAACTGGTTTAAACACGGCAATGCAAGTTAAAACACAATCGCTGCAGCAGGCTCGTAATCGCTTTTCTTGGAAACTTCATTGCAGGTACTTAAACAAAAAGTGCTCTGATATCCAAAGTCGCAAAAGTCGCCTGTTCGGGTTTAATCCGTGTATTGAACCAGTATTCCAGATTTAAATATAAATATAAAAACACATATGTACAACACACAAATATACATAGAAGCACACACAATACACGCACACGTCTTCTCTATCACAAAGCTGTGTAACCATGCTTACACTCGTCACACTACTTCTATCAACTGCCTGTAAGCATTGTATCGTCTTACAAAAGGTCAACGAATTTTTTATTTCACAAATTTTCCTAAAATTTATATTACTGTCAGATGCAAAAATCAGATTGGACAAATTTGGACATTTTTACTTACACTTATTTAAATTTTTTCTACATAGTAAGTTTATTTACAATCTATGATATTTCCATATACATAATTATATTTTAGCTCATTTGTGGCACAGTGCAGTGGCGGGCCGGATGAACTGACCTCAGGGGCTGGATCCAGCCCTCGGGCCGTAGTTTAGTGACCCCTGGGTTAGACGATGAGAAACAGTTTGCAAGTAGAGTGCCCTAACCAACTGGTCATTTCAGGCCGCTCCCAGTGGCACAGCGATATGTCTGCGAACTTTCAATGCTAGAAACCGGGTTTCGATACTCGTGGTGAGCTGAGCACAGATAGCCCATTGTGTAGCTTTGTGCTTAGCTTACAAAAACATTCCAGACCCTGCTACCAGTGGATCGACACTACATTTGAAAATTCACTTTCTCACTATAGGCTCGGTACCAGGGAACGACCTCGTTGCTATTTTGTGCTTGTTATAGTTTTCATGCTATATCTTTTAATACAGCAAGTGTACCTTCACGAAATTTTATAGATTACCAGTAAACATTACAAGGCGTTCATACACAAAATATAAGATTTTTTTATTAAGTTTAAGATTTTTTAAGTAATGTTTTTCTCTTGCTTTTTTCTTTTCGAATATTGTCTATCCAACACGCAAAGTAATTTTGATTTTAAGATTAAAAATACTTTTATGATCAGAAAATGTTCAAATGTTACATGCTAAAGCTTTATAACCTTCAGACATTTATCAAATGTTATTTTAGAAAAAAACTTTATATTTTATGAGTTATCTTCACTGTTGTATCTCTGTAAGAGTTTGGTCGATTCGACCGACCTCGTAAACACCATAAAAAATTAGGAAATAGATATAAATTATGCTTTTTCGTTCTAGAATGATAACAAATTATAACACAAAAACATAAATGTATATTCAAAATAGCTTAAATCTCATAGCATTATACATATCTATATATATATATTTATTATTTTTATTTTATTGACCCTTCAGCCGCGCCTCACTAACATTACAAAAGTTACAATGAAGCATTGCACGTGCACTCATGTTACATATCCAAGAGTATAAAACTGACCTTTATATAATGACATGCCTTGGCTGTGTTCTGGTGGACATATATAATACATTATATATGGATATACAATATTACCATTTACAAATAAATTTATTAAATTTCAGTTATTTTTCTTAAACATAGAACAGTAAATAAAGAAGTATAGAAAACAATTATCTCTTCTAGTTATGAAGTTTGTACTCGTTTGCTGTTTGCCGTAAGTTGTTATGCCCTATCAAATTGCCCCACAGTGGCACAGCGGCATGTCTACGGACTTACAACACTATAAACCCGGTTTCGATACCTGTGTGGGCAAAGCACAGATAGTCCATTGTGTAGCTTTGTGCTTAACTACAAACAAACCTTACAAAATTTCGCAAGTGGAGTATGTAAAACGTTTTTTTTTTTAGGTTTTATATATTGTCACGACAGTGGAAGTCACGTGACTCTGGTAACACGTGATGAGTTTGTAGAAGGATCATGAAGACCTGAGTGCATTCGAGACGCCCTCTTTTGAAATATATAAGCATATCGAGTAAAACCAGCACGAGAGGGAGATAAATAGAAGAGACATAGATAGATTGAAGATAGAGATAATTGAGTCAAGCAAACAATATGCACCGTAAGTAAAGTGTGTGAATCGCTGTGATTTATAGCGTTTGTTATAAAAGCTGTTAAGTTTAAAGTGACTGTGGAAATTAAGTGTATTACAAAGTTGTAACGAGAAAGAATAAACTAGTTTTAATTCAGAAAGGACTTGTATCGCTGAAGTTTCTCGGAAATAATTTATACCGGAAATTAACAAACAAGCAAATACGCAACAATATTATTGAAATAATGTTTTCTTTTTTTCTCCTGTATCTTACATACCTCAAAACGTTCAAGTCTAATTTATCCATAGCCTGGTGGTTTCAGTCGTAGTGGTGTTATAATTCAATTACCAATCACATTATTCGTTGGTAAAAAGTAGCACAAAAGTTGGCGGTAGGTGGTGTTGACTAGCTGTCTTCTCTGTAGAATCTAGTTTATCACTTCATAATTAGAAAAGGTTAGCACAAATAAACATGTGGTATCTTTGCGCGAAATTCAACTAATAAACAAATTCTTTCTGCTGATGTTATTTACCTGTCATTCTTTCAGCCTTGGTATTGGGTGAAAGGCATCATTGTTATATGATAAAGCATATATATATATAGTGTATTTAACATAATATTAATTTTCACTTATTCTCAATTAGTCTTAAATGCTTATAGTTGAACAATAAAGAGCTTCAGCTTCGTGCCCCCATTTAAACATGGCAGAAGAGGATGAAGTAGATTACATGTCAGACACGTTTGTTACCGTTCCACAAGAAAAGTAAGTGTGTTTAAAACTCAAAAATTCATATGACTGTACTGCTTCTTTGTTTTGGGGAGGGAGAGGGGACGTATAATCGTCTTGCAATGTGTAAAAACATATACGCGTTCTTTTATTTTTAAGTTTTAGTTTAACGTTCTTAAAATTTTAACTTCAGGTTCAACTTCAAGATCTGATTACATTTACTGTAAGTTATAACGCAGTATAAGTGTAACTGTTAGGCTTAGGCTGTGACGCTAGACTAGCGTACTATGTAGTGTGGAAATATTCAGGTTTTTAAAACTAAGATTTGAAATTCATAAGTTCTGTCCAGATGATAATTTCTAAACATTTGCTGGCAGTAAGACTATAACTAATAAGTTATAACCTTTGGAACACAAGTTTAAGATATGGAAAATACACCTACCAGTTTGATTTTCATAACTAATTTTTTATGTTACACCTTATCATAAGCGTTTTTCTTTTTGAAAAACTAACTACAACAAGTCCATTCCCTTTGCTTCATTCAGGTGACATTAACAAGCAAGTATTTTCCTTTAAGTAATGTCCTTGCAAAAAGGATAGCAGATTAGTAAGGCAAAATCTTCCTGTAGTTATTTCATGCTGTCTTTGATTTGTGGTATTATATTTCACTGAAATTGTTTTATAAAGCTTCATTTATTAGAAGCTCTAAAACATTTAGATAATATTTAAAAACTAAACCTTCTCAAAATCTTCAACTTAAATGTTGCCAACAATATCTTTAGTTTAAGGACCCAATCCTTATCTTAAACATTTTAATTATCTTCAACATACTCAAAGAAATTCTTGCTGACGTGGGTGGTGTGCTTGTCATTTTGATCTATCATATTCAAATTTCCATGAGTAGGCCTATATTTTATCAAACGAGTCTTTCTAATGTTTATGTTTCAAGTAATAAGCATGACTATATTCATTTCACTTTTGACCAATCACAGAGCCACTAACATGGAATGCTACTAGATCCAAAATAAGACAATATTTTTCTATCACATTGGCAAGCCTTGCCTTTGTGGTGAACATCTGATACACCAGCTACATTGTTTGTGACCAGGTTCATGACTATATTTGTATCTGTTTTATTTATGACTCATTATTGCAAGTCTATGCATAAAAGAAAGCAAGTGAAGAATAAAAGCATTTGTAGCATTATTTATGTTATAGGTGTGTTATAATATACACACAAAATTACTGTACTCGTATATACCAAAAGAACCTCTTAACTCTTACTTACCGTGTTAATATCAATGCATTAGTGATGCACCCACTTGACATTCCAGATTGAGCACAGCTAATTTATGTGTGTTTACTGTGCCAAATTCATGCAGATTACTAAGATTTTGCTTTGGAAACTTAAGGTATGTTGTTGAATTGTAACAATATCTTGTCTAGTGTGAAATTAACTACCAAATCAGTGTAACACAGTCATGGTTCATGAACTAAATGTTATTGTTAATCCTTAGGTACACTTTCATTATGAAATCCATTCTTTGTTCTTAATTTTGAAAGGAGAAGACAAAGTCCCTTTATAAAGTAGAACCTAGGAACAAAACTGAGTTTGATCTTCCTTGTCATCCATTTGTCTGCATGATGTTATTTATTTTTGGCAATTTCCATCAGTTTTATTGTTAGTATTGGATGGTGCATGCAAATTCTTGTTAGTTATCATAAAAATGCATCTTAATTACTCTTGCAAGTTTCCTAGCTTGAATAGATTTTTAAAAGTAAAATCACAATCAACAAATCTTGGTAAAAAATGCAAATCAGAAAATAAACAAAGTGAGAAGGAATATGTAAAGAAATGGAAGTGAGGATTTATTGTAATAGAAAAAAAGAGCTTGTTGAACTAATATAAACTGAGAACTGCGTGGTAGTAAAGCTGGGCAATTAGTGGATTATAATAATTGATTAATTCTTGGACTTGCTAACAGATTACATTAACCAAATTATTTTTGTTAGTAGTGACACTAAGCAGTTAGGTTGAACAACCTTTGATTTATCAAAACTGACAATGAAAAGTCATAATGGCAATTTTAGCCACATGGCTAGTTTGAATAATCAGCAGCACTAGTTTGATTAGTTGTTTATTGTCGAGACTAATCAAATTAATCGTAATTTTGATTGAAGCTAATCAATGCTCATAGGTATTGATTATATTGGTTAAGTGAGTTAATCACCCACCTCTACTTGGTGTGCATAACTTTTCAAAAATGTAAGAGAAATTACAAGGGTCACTGCAACTGGCAATATGCTATACAGAATTGATGGTTTGAAAGCCCATTTTTCTTCTGTAATAAACCAGTATTTGTTTGTTTAGAAATTTATTTATTGGGTGATTTCTTTATCAGTTAACTAATTTAATAAAAGTATAAAGTTTTATCAGATATTTTCAGGCAATTGAATTTTGTAAAAATGAAATTTAACACCCATGTGCCCAAATGGACAATTGAGTTTAAAAGATAATGTCAAGCCATGCCATGTAGAAAAACAATGTGTACAGTACAAGAACATAACCAGAAGTCCAAGATGTCTTGCGTGTCAACAGAACCTAGTATATGAGTTTGATCTATAGCAGGCAAAAGCCAATAAAAAATATTATTTACCTATATTATCATAGATGTGAGTATGTTTGTAAGCAATGCTTAGTACAAAAGTGACAACATAAATTCAAGACTTTACCTCATGTCTCTTCAGAGATAAAATAAGCCAAATGGTAAATAAATGATGACATATTTATTAATTTGTATAAGACAAGGTAAATTGTTGGGATGTACAATACTCAATGCTTCATAAATTAATGGAGTACATCCAGCTTTATTCCTATGACATATTCTATTTATATAATGCAATTACAACTAATGTAATTTTTTGCTAACCTTTCATGAAAGTTATTTTTGTACTTCATAAAAATCTGCTCATGCATACACTGTTTCATAGTTTGATACTATAGTTTGTTGTGTTATAATGACAATACATTTTATCAAAGAACTTCCTGGAAAAAGTTTCATTGGAAGTGTGGAAACCTTGGATTTCTTATTCATTTCTTCTGTTTCAACAGGTGATCTATAAAAATTGTCAATTAAAATGTTTTTACCTAAGTAGCCCTTGATTATAGCCTATATAGATCTACTTCTAGATCACCATTCTTTATGTCTAAATTATTTGAAACCTGATTTTGAAAAATAATTCCTATTATCAGTACTGCCTTAGTCTAATGAAGTCTATAAATCCATTTCTGTTAGTCTTAAATTTCACCCTGAACTCATCCATTTGGTTCCTAATACTTTTTATATTTACTAAGAATTACCTTGATCCTAATGTTTATATTTAAATCTGATATGTTTTTCTTTAAAACTGTTGCTTAATTTGTTATGCTCTGAATCTACTTTTTCTAATCTTTTAATTTTCCAAGCTATCCTACAATATTAAAATGTTTATTCCCGATTTCCCAAGCTTCCTCACCATTATGCAAGTTTCAATTAATCTTATTTCCAATGAATTATAGCTTACTACCAAACCATCTTATAAAGAACCTGTCTTTAGCATATAGTTTACTGTTATCTGGAAATCTATCTTTCAGGTTCAACCAGTCCACCTGTTGCTCTAAGCATCTGTATACTACTAAAACTCTGAGATTGTTTGTTTGTGGGCTTGTCTGTAATTAAATACCTCAAAAATGGTGCACAATACTGGCATATTTGTAATGAAATGAGAATAGAAACAGAATAAAATAAGTTTTGTTAAAATCGGGCCACTGGTTACCGAGTTAACCCCATTTTTCAGGTCACTTTTTGAAAAGTTCTAGATGAATTTAGGTACACTAGATGGCGCCACATATCAGTTTATCTATCTATTCGTTTTCCCCCAGATGAATCAATTTAAAATATCTTCTATACAACAATATATGCACAACAGAAATTAAATGCTTAGATGAAAATGTGTTATAAAGATGCACAGAAAGAACAACAATAAAATGACCTACAGTATTATTGTCTATTTGCAAATAGTAACTATGGAGATGAAGTAATAAAATAAAAAATCAAGTGAAGATGAAAATGTGTTATAATGGCAAGTAGAAAGAACAACAATAAAATGGACCTACAATATTATTGACTATTTGCAAATAGTAACTATGGAGATGAGGTAATAAAATAAAAATCAAGTCGAGAATAACAACAAAATTTTATAAACGAAAACCTCTCGCCGAGCATTGGCTATTATATTATTTCCCTGTCAATGTTCTCATCTTCATAAAAGGCATAAGATGACAAAAACAAGATCTTGAAGAATCTATCTATATACTACTAAAATTCTGAGATTGTTTGTTTGCTTATCTTTTCAGTCAAAAAATCATTCACACTACCGTTTGTGCTCTTTACGAAACTTCATCGGGCCATGGGTTACCGAGTTAGCAACGTTTTTCGGGTCACTTTTATGAAAATTTCTAGCATGAGTAATTTTACATCGCACTACCGTTCTCACTCTTTACTAAACTTCTTTGTTCAAATCTATTTCCCTGTCAATGTTCCAATCTTCATTAAAAGGCGTAAGATGACAAAAACAAGATGTTGAAGAATTTCTCAATGTGCCTTAGTTATGGTAGGTAATTCGAAGAAAAAATAAAGTGTTACTGTTTCTTATTTGTAAAAGATTTAAGGGGAAAGACCACAACATAATGAACTAATTCATCACAATACCTGAAAACTCTGACTTCACTTTTTTGAAAAATGAAATAGTCTTTACTTTTACTCCCGATCAACAATCAAATATCTTTTCTTGAATTATGAATAACATGAATGGATTGAAATATTTGATTAAATTATCTCAGAATAAACCTTCATTTCGGTGCAAGATTGAAATTAGATTGAATTCTTCATAACCTCTGAGTAGTGGGTGACCCAACGGGTCACAGGTTCTCTTGTATCCTGATAATCTTTCGTTTATGTGTAAGCCTTGGATCTTACTGAGTTATTCATTCATGCTTTTAGCCCAAGGGAACACATAAAAAGGGCACATTATCTGTTTCTGTCCCTAAACCTCTAAAAGAGTTATTTATATTTATGAAGCAGATCTTTGGACTTACACTTTTTAACATTATTTACACCTACACACATGCACTACAAAAGAAAATGCTTGTTGGACCAGCAAATAAACTGTCACTATGCTCTATAATGTCCTGTACTTCAACACTTGGCAAGCAAATTCTAGTACTAGTTCTTCTGTGCTTCATACTAAAAAAAACTTTATTCTGATACAATATCTTGCCTCCTCCCACAGAAAGCTTTCTCAACTTATAATGCCCTCTGTCGGTGCAGATTTTTGCTCATCACTAGCCCTGAAACTCCCACATATCTCTGCATACTAACAAGAAAATAATTATGCAGCAACCCTCCATCAATAGCAATGCAACACTACCCTATCATAACTAGTACCCTCTCTAATCTTGCAGCTGTTAACCAATTCTTGATTGGCAGTCTTATTGAATAGATATGTTTTTCCTTGTGGTTTGATTCACAAGTTTTTGCTTTCTTAATTTTTCTACTTGAGTTACATTGTTCATTATCATTTTTGTTCTCTTTTTGTGTAGAGTTAAAAATTATTTTATCTTCTCTCCTCTTTCAATTTTGTGAGTTATGCTCGTGCAGTTTCAGGTGATCATGACTACAACTGCTGAAGCAGAATTACCAATCATGTCCAATGGGTCTGAACCACAATTCTCAGCCCATAAAGTGACAACTCTGGTTTGTTGGGAGTTGATCAGTTTCATGCAACATTCAGAACAAACTGATGATTGTCATATCATGGGTTTTAGTGATTGGGAAGTTTGAATTTGAACAGCCTTTTTCCCCCTCCTGAATATGCCTCTCAGTTGTGTGTTGTGTTGGTGGACTTGCTCAGACCTTTTTTTTTCCATTTGGTGGATTTGGTTATTAAGGTGTGTTATGTTCTGCCCTTATCTTCTGTTTCCTATGTTCCAACTCTGCTCTTCTCAGGAACTAGCCTTTGGGTAATATTTTTATGTTTCCTTCTTCCCTGGATATTGAGGTTCATGTGAGTTGTTTTGGGGAGCATTTGCATTCGGGAATCAACTGCCTTTACCCCCACATACTGTGAATGATCATGCTTTTGATTATCATTGTTTCAGTTTGACTGGGCTCAATTAACATATTTCCTTATTCTCTGTTCCTTAAAATTTGAATTCATTTATACTATCTTTTGCAAATAGTGAGCAACTTGTAATGCATATATGCAAAGTTTTTTGTATGATTATAAGACAGTAAGATTAAGTATATATACTGGAATTGATTAGGAACAACATTTTGAATAGATACAAGGACTAGGTAAGACATTGGCTTAATAACCTTTTGTATTTTCCCATCCAAACCACCCTACACTACAGTTAACTTGTCTTTCACCAACCCTTTCCTATATGATTTTTTTAGCTACTCTTCTGTGTGGCACCTTATTAGAAACATTTTGAAAATATAAGTACACCAAGTCCACAGTCTTTCCATCATTCAGATAACAAATATCATCTCTCAAATAAATTAACAGATTAATAAGGCAAGATTTCCCTTTATTGAATCTGTGCTGGCTTTCTTCTGTGGTATTTAGTTTGTATAAAAATATGTGTTCATATGACTTTCACATTTTTTTTCAGTGACATTCGACCTGGGTTAGTTTTTAACCACTCATTGAAGAGAAAGCATGAGCTAGAAAAACAACAAATTGAAAGTAAAAAAATCAATTTTCAAAAACCTATAAAACAGCTAGAGGAAGAAAATCGTTTAAAAGGACTTAGTAATGCTCTTCCTGAAAATAATAAAGGCTTTGCTATGTTGCAAAAGATGGGGTACAAACCAGGGATGAGCTTGGGAAAGAAAGGTAACAGAGTTTAAATGTTTATTCACATTACAGTAATACAATGTAACAAAATGTTTTGATAATGATAATTAGTTCATCAAGTTCTGTTTATTGCAAAATCAGTCATAAAATATTTTTTTGTTTGACAGCTAGAATCATTATAGTTTAAACTATATATCATAGTTTATAAAACTAGTTATTCTTGTACAGACAGAAAATACTACTACAAATGGCACTTAAGCAGGAATGAATGTATGCTATTTGTGTGAACCTTATAACAGCAACTAAATAAGTATGTGGAATTATATTGTAGTGTATTCAGGGTTCGTACGCGTCCTGGAATGTCATGGAAATCCTGGAAAAACGCGATTTTTTTTTCCAGTACTGGAAAGTCCTAGGAAAAAACG